CAGGCACCTCCTGGTGGCCAACCAGCCTCTCTGCACCCTGCTCGGAGTCGGAACGCTGTCCAGGGTCCTTCACATCCCCTAGAGCCGACTCATAGGGCCCCTCGCTGTCGGAGTCTGGTGGCAGCTCCAACGGCTCCTGCTGGGCCACAACACACATATATGTTGGGCACATTTCTGTGTTGTGTGAAAGTTTATATCTCACAATAGAAAGACTTTTAACACCTGCTTTCTGACTAAACCTTTCAGTGAAATTGATATCTGGGTCCCGGAACCAGACCACTCCGAAGTGCCAGCCGAATGGTGGGATACAGAAGCAGATAAATCTCTATTAATAGGTGTTTTTAAACATGGTAAGCCATAAGGACATTATCTGCTTGCTTGCTTGCTTGCTTTGTCTTGAAGGTTATATTCAGAATACATTTCTTTCCAGGTTATGAAAAATACAACACAATTAGAGCAGATGCTGCCCTTTGTTTCTTGGAAAGAGTGGGGAAACCGGATGATAAGGCCGTAGCTGCTGAGCAGAGAGCAAATGATTATATGGATGGGTATGAATTTTTAAACCGCTTTTGAAAGCCAGTTGCCATTTTTAGCGCCCATGCAAATATTATCCAATTTAGCAATTGCAATACCACTTAGACTTATATACCACTTTAGAGGGCTTTATAGCCTTCTCTAAGTGGTTTACAGAGTCAGCATATTGCCCCCAACAAACTGGGTCTGCATTTTACCCACTTTGGAAGGATGGAAGGCTGAGTCCACCTTGAGCCGGTGAGATTTGAACTGCCCAAACTGCAGCTAACAGTCAGCCGAAGTAGCCTGCCGTACTGCACTCTAACCACCGCACCACCTCGGCTCTCACAGATTGATTTAGTAATTAATCTGATTCATTGAGTATTGTCTCATCCATTTATGATATACTATGCAAAACAGAAGGTTTCAGGACCATAATCTGTTCCCCACAAAGTTATGATAATTTGAACAATTTAGGTGTAACTTTAGCAAGTGGTCTTTTTCTCAAGAGAGAAAAAGAACACAATTTCAAGAACAGAGGAATCAGACAATTTAGAGTCAAATTCTTTGGCAATACTTGCTTTTTCCTGCAAATGAACGCATTTTATCATTCTCATTTTTTTAGTAACTAAACCAATAGTTATTCATTCTCATATCACTTACACATCTGTGTTGAATGTGTTTCTTAGGGATGTAGAAGACCCAGAATACAAACCAGCCCCAGCCTTGTTTAAAGACGATATGGAGGTAACACATTTTCACTTCATCATTCTTTGTTTCTTTACAGTTTGGGTAAATGTGTTTGGATTTGGATGGGGAGGAGCAGGTTAAGGCTTAATCCAAGCAAGACAGAATGGCTCTGGGTTTGCAGGCTGTCCGACTCCCAAGGAGACTCCAAATTTAATTCTGGACTGGGTTATGCCCCTACAGTACTGAACTAGGTTATATCTCCTACTGGATTCACAACTCCTACTTGAGTGGCTATTACGGCTAGGAGGGCCTTTTGTTGTAGAATAAACAGGACACACAAGCCAGCTCTTCAGGGAAGGAATAGTTTATTTGCGCAGGTTCATAGCAAAGAATAA